CCATGAGACTGGGGAGCAACATTGGTCACTGGAGGAAATGTACTGCATGCAGTTCTGGTCACCCTAATTATAGAAAGGATATTATGAAACAAGGAAGAGTAGAGAAAAGATTTACTAGGATGTTACCTGGACTGGAAGGTTTTAGTTATAAGGAGAGGTTGGATAGGCTGGGATTCTTTTTCTGTGGAGTGCAGGAGACTGAAGGGTGACGTTTTATAAAGCTCTATAAAATCATGAAAAGCATAGATAAGGTAGAAAGCCAACTGTTTTGTCCCATGTTAGGGGAATCTAAACCTAGAGGGCGTAGCTTTATGGTGAGAAAGGAGTCATACAAAAGGGCCCAGAGGAACAATATTTTCACACAGATGGTGGTGAGTGGGCCGCTCAAGGTAGTTGTGGAGGCAAGTACAATTTCATCATTTAAGAAACATTTGGACAGGTACATGGATGGGATAGGTGTGGAGGGATATGGACCAAATGCAGGCAAATGGGACGAGTTTAATTGTGAAAACTGGGCAGCATGTTTCCATGCTGGTAATCTCTATGCCTCTAATTGTAGCCTGCTGAGAATCTGAGCCTTCAGTGAGTGGGAAGGAAGGCCACCATATTGGACATGGGGTAAAGCAGTGGCAAGTGCAGTGGTGAAAATGTATTTAATTGCCCCCCAACCTTGCCAGAGTTAATGAAGACTGAAAGGCTTGTCAGGGTATTTTGTAACCAGGCAAGAGCAAAGTGGGGCAGAAGTCTCTCCATCCTGGCAATAGGGAGCTGCGATGAGTTAACAGAAGTGTACGCTCGCTGAAATTTCCTGGATTATGAAGAAGATTATTCCCAAAAGTCTTCCAGCCTGCTGGAAGTGAGGTGAGAATCGGTACAGGAATAAAACTTCTGGCATCACAGTTGAGGTGAATAATTTCCACTTCTGAGAAACAGTGTGTAACTTTCCCTCTGCCTTTGACCCCCTCACTGAGTTGCTGATTCAATATCTTTTGGGACAGTGGCAGAATGATGGGGGATGTCGAGGGAGAAAACAAACATGTAAACTCAGTTTAACACATTTGTTAAGAGATCTAACATGTACTCTCTTTCGATCAGCTCATCAGATACTAGGCACCACTGTGGGGAATTCTAAAGTATTTGTGTCTTAAAAGTGTTTGCCTCTTTTGTCTAAGTACTTTTTTGAAGTAGAAGGCCCCAGAGACAGAATTAAGAGTTTTCACGTGTAGATTCTACAGATTAACATAGTCGTCTCAGCATCTTTACACGGTGTGGCTGCTTTCTGTACAGCCTGTCTAGTCACAGAGCAGCTATTATATTCAGCCATAGCTCAGAAGGATTACTGCTGAATTGCGAGGCCCTTCAGACCACTGCTGATTAGAAAGAGGGTAAGGCTTGAGATTGAAAGAAAGAAAGAGAGAGAAAACAATTAACTGGAGAACAGATGTCTTTGCTGAAGTTTGGGCAGCAAAGACTGATTCCCTATTGTTACATGCCTCCCCTCCCCGAACAACCACTTACTGTTTCAATGTGGCTGAACTTAACTTGGGCAAGAAACCAACCCCTCTACAATGCCCACCCCCCCTCCCCTCCCGACCCCTCAATCCCATCACAGCACCCCCCTCCTCTCTCCTGTCATCTGCTGCATCAGATGTCCCCCTCTGCCTCATTGTCTGCCCTGTTTTCTAGCACGCTGTCATTAACTAGTTCAAGACCTGCAGACATGCAACCCTGTCAGACTGGGTCGGATTTAGGTCGAGTTGACAAGACTTGAAGTTAATTATGCTTTATTTTTCTCCCACCCCTAACTGTGTATGATTTGCCTTTCAAAGGGTGAAACATGTTACTGTTCTTTTTTTTTGGAACCTTGTGCATAATCCCGGCTACCTCCCTTGCCCCCCCCACCCCTCCAACCCTTGCTGGAAATTGGTATTAAGCAGTGAGATTGAAACCCTTAAAAACAGCCAGACGTTTTTACTCCGAGATGGTAAGAACTGCAGATGCTGGAGTCAGACATTTTTACTTTTGGTCAGCTCTGCCCTCCCTTGCTAAGCCCTGCCGAGAAACAGGAGAGGAGTCTACTTCTAGGATTAATGTTGCTCAAAAACTCTAGTCTAAACACTAAAGCTGGTCTTTGGATCTAAAACTTCTACTCCTGGGTCATATTGAAGGGTTGGATGGTCATGACTATAGCATTATGCTGAGTGTGGAAATTGACTACAAGCTGGATGAAATATAAGGGTCAACTGTATAATGCAGAGACAAACACGGATTTTCCTGTCTTTCATTTCTTTCCTCTTTCAAAAAGATTTTTTGGTTTTTTTTCTTTGTTTTTATAAGGTTTTATTCACAGTCTGTAGTTAATCATGGTCAAACATATCATCTTCTAATACTACTTCCTGATGGAAGTATTTCATCTGTGTTGCTCCTTCCTTCTAGTACTAGCACCGAGTCTATGTTATCAATTTTCAAACACTGGAAACAATTTAACATTTATGTTTTTGTCCATTTTCAGATTATATTTTAAGAATCAGGATTGTGATGGCATACTCTCTGCTTGTCTGGATAAGTGCAGCTGCAATAACACTCAAGAAGTCAGGCACCTTCCAGGAAAATGCAGTCCGCTTGATTGACACAACACCCACAAACTTCAACATTTACTACCGATGGCACAGTGGCAGCAGTGTGTACCATCTACAAGATGCACTGCAGTAACTCTTGTTACTCCTCTGACCGCACCTTCCAAACACTGTGACCCTGATCACCTAGAACAGGGCTTCACAAAGCAGAAATTTTGGAGTCAAGAGTTCTGAGACAGCAATGGAGGTCATGGAACTCTGAACGAGTTATAATAGCTGTGCTTTCACTATAACACGTCCCTGCTCTCTCTCAGGCCTCAAAGTGGGATCGCATAAAATTTCAAGGATCAGAATGGGGCCACAGAGGGGAAAATATTTGGGAAGCATTGACCCAGAAAGACAAGAGCAGAAGATACTTGGGAACGCCACCTCCTGCAGGTTCACCTTCAGGTCATGCACCATCCTGAAGCCACGCTGTTCTTTTGGCATCCCTGAGTCAAAATCCTAGAACACTCTCTTGACAGCACTGGATCTACCCACACCAAATAGACTGTATTGGCGCAAGAAGGCAGCTCACCACCACCTCCAGGGCAATAGGCAATAAATGATGGCCTAGACTAGCACAGACATGCCCCATGAATGAATATAAAAAGATCTCTACCTGCAGCCTACCTCCATCCCCAACATGTTTCTACCCATGAAAACCTAATGTGTTCCAGCTTGTCTTATTGCTATAACCTCCTCATTTGCTGTATCATTCCACCATGTCATTGCTGTATCCATTCTGTCACTGCCCCGCCTATAAGTGTTGCATGGTGGCTCAGTGGTCAGCAAAACTGCCTTATAGCACCAAGGACCCAAGTTCGATTTCAGCTTCAGGCGACTGTGTGTGGAGTTTGCACGTCCTCCCCAAGTCTGTGTGGGTTTCCTCCAGGTGTCCCGGTTGTCTCCCACAGTGCAAAGATATGCAAGTTAGGTGTATTGGCCATGCTACACTGCCCATAATGTCCAGGAAGGTGCAGACTGGGTGGATTAGCCACTGGAAATGCAGGATTACAGGGATGGGGTGCAGGAGTGGGTCTGGGTGGATGCTCTTCAAAGGGTTGGTGTGGACTTGATGGGCCGAATGGCCTGCTTTCACACTGTAGGGTTTCTGTGATGATGATGACTCCAGACTGCATGCAATGCTTTATTTTTGCGTTTACCCGATATGATGTAAAAATTCAACTTCTCCTCCTGATTTTTAAGTACACTTTCTCAATGTGTATGTCTCCTAATCCAATTTTCATTTTTCATGACTTTTTCCAACCCTGTCCTTTGGCCTTGTAGCTCCCCAAGAAAAATATAATTTGATGTAATTATTTCAGTCAACCATGACAGAGATGGCAGGCAAATACAACATTGTGGGGGAATGATTGCGTCTGATGGAGTTCTGGGAGTCGAGGAGGATATTAATGTGACCATAATACTCACCAGTTCTGAAGAAGGTTCACTTAACCAAGACATTAACTCTGATTTCTCACCACAGAGGCTGCCAGACCTGCTGAGTTTTTCCAGTATTTCTGTTTTTGTTGTTGATAATACTCATTGGCTTTGTGGGGACAATGGCACATGCACGAAGAGGATTTGGCTAAAGAAAAGTCATATTCTGTTTTTTGGTATGATTGTCTGTCTCCCTGAAGGAAACTGGAATCCGGTAGCATTGACATGAACTTGGTGGCATCAGGGACGATGCCTTCGGTCTTCCGGGGAGGTGATGGCCTAGTGGAACTCTTGCTAGACTATTAATGCAGAAACTCAGCTAATATTCTGGGGACCCGGCTACAAATTCTGCCATGGCAGGTGGTGGAATTTGAATTCAATAAAGAATCTGAATCGAAGGGTCAAACGTCGATTGTCAGAAAAATCCATTTGGTTCACTAATGCCCTTTAGGGAAGGAAATCTGCCATCCTTTCCTCGTCTGGTCTACATGTCACTCAAACCCCCAGCAATGTGGTTGACTCTGCCCTCTGGGTGATTAGAGATGGGCAATAAATGCAGGCCTTACCAGTGACGCCCATATTCCGTCAGTGAATAAAAAAAAATGTGATCATGTGAATAAGGTGAACATTCTGCTGAGAGCGAGGCAGTGCAGAGGTTGGGAGGAATTTGAGTGGTAACTTTTTGAGGTGCTAGCATTCCTATCTATGCTGCCCCATGTGCCTGTGGATGGTGTTGTGCGAGGGACAACAGGTAGGTGAGGAATGGGAGAATATCAAGGATAGATCAAAGGTTGCACTCTGTTAATCTAGCCTTGCTGGAGCCCCTGTTCATTCTTATTTAGATTTCAATATGTTTGGGTAGCTGGTCATAGAGAAGCAACATCAGGAACTATTGGAAAATGTAATGGAGAACTTGTGTAACAGTTTCTGTATTGTTTCCAGCTATTGCAGTACCAGGATCCTAAGTGATGTGTAGAACAAACAGCTAAAAAGGATGGCCTCTCTCTCTCCACGCTCCTCCAGACATATAATATCACTTAATTGATGGAAAATATTCTTCTCTAAAGGTGAAAACGCACAACAATGGCCCAGACATCACTATGTTGGTGTTTCTCTTTCACACAAAGCGCCTGGCCTAGGGTACTCGAGACTCTATTGTATCAAAATAGGTCATTCTGTCTGCCTGGCTCCTCCTTCAGAATCTGCATCGACACTTTCGTTTTGCTCAAAGATTTTTGAGAGAAAAAGAACAAGCTCTCACCCTTTTAACCCATTCGTCGCCCATTTAATGCATCTGGGTAGATCACTTTTGAGGTCTTCAGTTACCGTGGTAACTGGGGGAATGGCTAATTCCAGGCCGAGGATCCTGACAATGTATTTGGTAACAGAACCCCAGAAGATATCAAAGTGGTTATTTACAAAAAAGAAAGATGAAAGAAGAGGAATATACTGCTGTCGAAATTTTGAGATTTTTAAACAACCTCTCTGCTCACGCTCTCTAAGGGTCAATAAAAGTTTAAATACCTGAAATGTAATTCCCTCAAAACCATCACACCTCCCCCCTCCTCCCCCACCCCTCAGCTACACAGACATACCCCATACACCACACGTACCAGGTTCTTTAAACTTTAAATTTTCTGAAGAAGGGTCCCGACCTGAAATGTCAACTTTCCTGCTCCTCTGATGCTGCCTGGCCTGCTGTGTTCCTCCAGCTCCACACTGTGTTATCTCTGACTCCAGCATCGGCAGTTCTTACTATTTTTTTAAACCCCCAACCTATTCTGTTGCAGAATAAGCGAATCAAAGAGAGAACATTTTGTTCAGGGGTGACAACATGATGTATTTTTATGGAGCAGGTTGAGTCAGGAAAAGGGAGAAGCAGAATTAGAAAAATGAGAAAAGAAAACCTGTATTCTGTGGCCTATTGAAGGTATTAGCACGTCACACAATCGAAATTGTGTGACATGTTTAGATAGCTGATGTGTGGTTGTATAACTAGTCATTTGGTAGAGCAGAACTTGAGATTTGCTGAACCATAGACATATTTTGTCAAAACCCTCAATTATCAGGGACAATTGGCAAGAATACCAATCTAAGGGGAAAAACAGGATTTTATGCCATATGAGAGGACAGTGCTAATTGATTGGTGAGTTGACTCTGATTGTTAGAGGTGTTGTCATGTAGAATGTGAGTGGTGATAAACTGTTAACTATCAGTTTTTATTTAAATTTTAAACTATGCAGGTTATCCCTTATTGGTCAGGGCATTGTGCTGAGAAATGAGCCAGTAAATGGCTTATTTTGTCAAGTAGAAACAGGTGCAGTGTGTGCATATGCTTTTTCTGTCTACAAAGAGTAATGAATATTAATGTATGTAACTTCCAGTATACGCAGGTCTGACAATTATTATTTGGATGTCCTCGTAGTTCTTTGCATACTTGGGATTAGCCAGCAAATGTTATCCAGTTGTGGACTACACTTCCTCTCACCCACCTTCCTGCAAGACGATGATCCCCCTACTCCCAATTCTTCCGCCTTCGCCGCATCTGCTCCCAAGTTGAGGCATTCCACTCCCGCACATCTCGGATGTCCTCGTATTTCAAGTACCGCAACCTCCCCCCTTGGTGGTCGAAAACGCTCTCAACTGCATCTCTTGTTTTTCCTGCACCTCTGCCCTCACACCCCCTCCCCGCTACAAAAACAAACACAGAATTCCCCCTTGTCCTCACGTATCACCCCACTAACCTCCGGGTTCAACATATCATTCTCCGCCACTTCTGCCACCTGCAATCTGACCCCACAACCAAGGATATATTTCCCTCCCCACCCCTATCTGCCTTCCGTAGGAACCACTCTCTCTGTGACTCCTTTGTTGGCTCCACACTCCCCACGAACCCCACCACCCCGACACCTTTCCCTGCCACCACAGGAAGTGCTACACCTGCCCCTACACCTCCCCCCCCACCTCACCTCCATCCAAGGACCCAAAAAACCTTCCACATCAGACGGATGTTCACCTGCACATCAGCTAATGTGGTCTACTGCATCCGCTGCTCCCGATGTGTCCTCCTGTACATCAGTGAGACCAAGCGAAGGCTCCGAGACCGCTTTGTAGAACACCTATGCTCGGTTTGCGACAAACGACAACAGCTTCCAGTCGCGAACCATTTCAACTCCCACTCCCTGGATGACATGTCCATCCTGAGCCTCCTCCAGTGTCACAATGACCCCACCTGGAAACTGGAGGAGCAGCACCTCATATTCCTCCTTGGGAGCCTACAACCCAATGGTCTCAATGTGGACTTTACCAGTTTCAAAATCTCCCCACCCCCGGCCTCATCCCATGACCAACCATCCCTCTCATCCCCGCCTCCTTGACCTGTCCATCTTCTCTCCCACCTATCCGCTCCTCCCACCTCACTGACCAATCCCCACCACTGCCTACAAGCACTCACCTATCACCATCCTACCTACCTTCCCCAACCCCACCCCTCCTCTGTCTATTTATTTCAGGGCTCCCTTCCCCATCCCCCATTTCTGAAGAAAGGTCCCGACCCAAAACGTCAGCTTTCCTGCTCCTCTGATGCTGCCTGGCCTGCTGCGTTCATCCAGCTCCACATTGTGCTAATGTTGGTTACTTATTGGCTTTGTAATCTTGGGCTGCTTGGGTATAGTCAGTATGTTACTTGTTATGACCAATCCAAAGAGATATGCTGTTTTATATGATCCACCAATCTTTGTGAGGTACAGCCTACATAACTGGCATCACATTGATACAGAAATTCATGTACCACAATACTCCTTTGACTTGATGGCAGCATCCTGTTAGGGGTGAGCACCACTATTGTTGCTGCTGCATAGTTGCAACGTGATACACAAGCTTTACCTTTTCCTTAATATATTGAGAGACCCTTTTAGAGAATTAGTTTGATAGAACTGAGGTAATTGCACTGTGTGTTTTAATTCAACAAAATAGGTGTCGGCCATTAGGTGGTTCATTTCTCAAGGCAATGTATTAGCCCATCAGGGTCAAGCTTCCTGGTTTAAAATTTAAACACAGCCTGGCAGTTAACTGTCAATTAGCATGAATGTGTGCATTCTCCATGGCAAGACTTTTACAAAGACTACTTGCCAACCAATCAATACTTTCCGCTCATACAGTGCAAATGTTAGCTTTCCCCTTAAATTGACATTCTTGCAAATTGTCCTGATGAGTGAGTATAAGGCAAAAAGCTCTGACAAAATAGATTCAGAGTTTTTACAGCGAGCAATTGTCTCTTTCATCAGGAATACTCAAATTCCATTGTTTCTGAACAGTTGATGAAGATGCCACCTGATTTTTTTTATTTTTCATTTCACAATTTTGATGCTAATTGTTAAAAGAACCACAGGTGAGATGAAGATTTATTTTTTAATCCAGTGTGTTTTCATAATCTGGAATGCACTATGCAATTTCCCCTTAATGAAGTTATTATTGAATATACTCCCACCACACCAGTTTTTGGACAAAGAGTTAAACAAGGAAAAGAATTGCTGGTGAGGAATATCAGGGGAATAACTAGCGACCTCCTCCTGCACTGGCCAATTCAGATTGCATCTTGTTCTTCCAGCATACTAGCATTCTCCAGTTACAGAGATGAGCCATTCCTTAAGGGAACTTCCCTCGACCATACTTGTGTTGGCAACACACTGGTCACTCTCAGATTGGGTGTGCCGAGCTGGGATGATTTCCCCGCTCCATAAATTCAGCCTTTAAAAATGGCAGCCTTTAAAAATGGCAGCCTCTAAAAATGGCAGCCTCTACTTTCCATTTTCCATCTGGACATAGGTTGGATTGCAGTTTGGTCCATGCTACCTGGCAGGAACTGAAGGTGTTGCTGGCTTCAGAGGAGGTAGCAAAGCAAGACTACCTTCAGAAATCTAACACTGTATTTTAATTTTTGAACAAAAGAATAGAATGTAAAAATTTCTGCCACCCTCGACCACCTCCATACTCTCCCAGCCCCATGCATGTCACCTGATGCCCTCACAGATCCTCATGCCCTATGTCAACTTAGTGCAATCTCATACTAACTTATAAATTCACCTACAATCCTTCACCTTCTGTGCCACATCATTCATTATCCACTGGTAGCCATGGACAAGAGGGAAAAATTAAAGTTCTGTATTGGAGAACATGCTGTGTTGAGAAATAACACACTCATTCAAAAATGCATAGTTTGGTAATTCCAAGGCTTTCTACACCTATCTGTTGCGTAAAATCGTCTCTGATGTTAGTAATCCCAAAGAGCACTTGACCCTTTCCCCGCCTCCAAAAGAAAGGCCTCCCGGAACCAAATCCAAAATGATACCTTAACTATTTAGGCTTGTTTGGATAGCCAAGGGCAGGTCTGAACATGTTAATCTCTGGGTTACAGGGAAGACAAACTCCCACTTCTGTGGGCAGCTGGTGAGTTAAAAGGTCAACTGGTTCCATCAAATACACAGAGTGGACATGTTAAGAGCAGATCGACTCTACTCTCCTCGTCTGAGATAAATGGAGGTGCTGCATTCAGGAGTGGGACTTGTAAATTCAGGCCACTCACCACTGATTGTGTTAATGTTTTGCGCCTCTCTCCACCCCCCCCACAACCTACTCCATTGTGACACTGACTGATGCACTATTGAGAGCTACAGCCAGCCAGTCTCCCCAGTTACTCATCATGGGGCGTGAGGAATGGGGGGTCTGCAATTCTCACCATCGAAACCAGAGCAGGAGTAAGTCATACCACACGTCGAGCATGCTCTGCCATTCAGTAAGATTATGGCTAACTTGATTGTGGTCACTTTCCTGCCTGACCCTCCCACAACCTTAGACTCTCATTGATCAGAAATCTGTCTAAGTCCAACTTGAAAATAGTCAAAAACGCTACTTCCACCGATCTCTGGGGAAGAGAGTTTTAAACACGAATGACCTCTGATTGTAGAAATTCTTCCTCCTCTCCATTGTAATTGGGAGACTTCTTATTTTTAAACTGTGTGTTCTCATTCTAGATTCCCCCATGTGGGAAAACATAAGATCTCAGCACTTACATTGTCAAGCCCCTTCAGAATCTTATATTTCACTAAGATGCTTCTAAACTCCAATATATTCAGACCAAATTAGGTCATCCTTTCATCAAGCCATGAATTGGTATAGACATGGTGGGCTGAAGGGCCTGTTCCTATGCTGACCATCCCATGTTTTTTGGAACCTTCTCTGAACTGTTTCCAATGCCTCCCTCAGGGACAGTAACCAAACAGTGCACAGGACTTGAGGGTCCTATCACCAGGGAATCACATGATTATGATCATTACTAAAAGAGATTATCTGATTATTATCACTTTGTTGTCTGTGGGAGGTTTGTTGTGTGCCAATTGGCTGCAAGGCATCAACAATGACACTTCAAACATATTTCTTCATCTGTAAAGCATTTTGT